TTAAACTAGCTCAAGGCTGTAATTTACCCAGATGTAGCTACACTGGGAAAAGGGAGCAGCCCTCTCCTAATTCTACACCACAAAGAGGCTGCCATCATTTACTCTAGAGGGTAATGGAAGTCCGATTCATTTGTTCTGTGGTCATTATAATATTAATAAAAGTCTTCGGCACAAGGCTGAAACTGCACAAAAGACTAGCAGACACACATTTTCCACCAGTATCCTACTTTAAAAACATGCTACCTGCACTTTGTCTGATCTGATTTATGTGGCATGCTGAATCTGTCTGCCTGGCAGGCTGTTCTGTCCCTGTGCTGCCAGCATCTCAAGAGTATTCTCAGAAATCAGACAGGAAGCGGTGGTTTCCAATGAGCAGATTCTAAGATGGAGAGGGACGGCACTAGTTAGAAAGCTGAGGATGGGCAATCTATGATCTTGAGGGGCTCCATGAGGGATGACAACAACACGTCGACTGTCACACAGTGAAAAAGGGGAAAGCGCACGATGAGATCTAAACCTCTTGCTCTCTCCTTTGGTGTTAAATTCATTCGTTGGTTTTACCTTTTTCTTTTTAAAACATGAGAGAAGCGTGTAGGAACTCTTGTTTGGTAAGTTTGCGTTAGGCCTGTGTATGCGTCTCACCATGTCTCTTCCAGCGGTGTCCCCTGATCGAGAGGGAGGTAACAGCGTTGCGGGAGATCCTCGAGGAGGTAGGTGTGATCTCCACCTGAATACTCCGCGCACCCTCCTTATTGTTGCTTTTCAGTGCTGCACTGTGCAGTGATGACTTAATGGCGTTACCCACCTGGAGATAACAAGAATCGCACATTTACTGCTTCACAGTTCAGTCTATTACTCTGTAACACATTTTAGGAGAAAGACATTGAGCCTTAAATCATGGGGGATCTCAATGTTTTGATGACTGAGCGCATAGCTCAAGAAGCCAGCACACAGATGAAGGCCACACTGAAATTATGCACCCATCAAGATGGAAAAATAACTCCAAAACCAATAATTTTATTATAGTTTTTAATTTAAATTTAATTATAGTTCAATTGATTCCAATTCTGCCAGAAAGCTTGCTTAGCTGCACAGCAGATGTCGTTATATTATCACAATCATCTAACAATGTAATAAAGTTCATAGACAAACTACAGCCTGTTGTCTATGTTTGCTCTTTTAGGTTTCAAAGTTCAAGTTTTATTTTTAGGTAATGTTTAAAATTTCTGGGTTTAAAGAGAGTTATGGTTTATGAAGGCAATGGTAAATTTATGTCCCAGTTCATGGTTAACCATTAGTCAGACACCTGTTACACTTCACACCAGCTGTATTCAGAAATATATATATTTTTTTTTAATTTAAAAAAAAAAAAAAAAGTTTATGCCCCAACGTCTTTACACACACTAATCTTAGTATGAAGCGAACTGAGACTGATGGAAGAATACAGCAGTCTCATGTTGCATTCAGGCTCAGGTGGCATAAAATTTTAAAAGTGTTTACTATAATTATGTTTTTATGCAAGATCAAGTGCAGAGGATTTACTGTGCACTGCCAAATTTAGAGTTTTTAAGCTAAGTTACAAAGCTGTCGATATTATAGGTGTATGCTATTTTACAGCTCCAAAAATTACAGAAAGTTTCTACTTTCATTTCCATTTCTGTTTTTTCTTATTGGGCACAAAAAAAAAAAAAAAAAAACAACCAAAAAAATAAAACAGTACTAATGTATAGCAAGCACAACTTAGGATGTACACACACTGAGCCTTCAATTGGGCTGATAGCTGATGTTGATACTAACGTATTCTACTTAACATAATAATAATAATAATAATAATAATGATCAGTTTTAAGTATTTCACTTAGCCAACAAAAACCTGATGTGAAACAAGAGAAGCTCTGCTCCTGATGACCAATATCAGCCAACATATGATATTCAGACACTATGTCAGAGCATCCCTGCTTCAACTACATTAGAAAATTGACCCCATCAACCAAGCACAGGATGGACATGAAGTACACGCTGATGTTCTGTCAAGTGGCTAATCCAACAACATCTCATCAATAATTTCACTTGCACATAGTAGACATGCAGGAATTAAGTAACAGAAGAAGCAAAATAAAAAGAAGGAAAACAAAGCCTTGTGTTTCACACTGAAATGGATTTCACAAGTCTTTATACAATAATCTTTGTTCCTAGTGCTCCTCACGGGGCACTTGCACTAATAATCTCCTAACAGCCGAGCACGTAACACACGACAGAAAGACTCATAATCACAACACAACATGTCTTTTGTCTGTGAGGCTTCGGCACACTGGTCTCATGAGGGACACGCCACCACGTCACGCTAAGCTAGCAGCCACCTGGTGTATTCCACTTGCAACACAGAAACCGACAACACAAAATTGACATTTTAAACTTTCCACAGTATCACATGTGCAACTCCTTTACACGGGAAAAAAATAAAATAAACCATCACCACTGTTACTAATATGAGTGTAAATGCTGTTTGTTTTGATTGTTGTGAAGGAGCACACCTTGAACTGTGTAGTAATACTGTAAGTGCGGGTTCAATCCTCTACTCTCTGGGCCGCAAGGATTATAGCTTAACGGAGCAGAGTGGAAAGCATGTAAATAATCTCGTGGGATTACACTCTGCTTGCACTCTCTGACTGACACACACACACACCAAGACAATGCCATATACTGTGCCGTGCATGAAACAAAACCAGAGGCCAGCATGTGCACAACCATCACATGCTCTCCCCTCTCTCTTACAATTAAAGACACAGACACACACTTAGAGGAGGTGTGATAGTGGCAGAAAAATATCATTGCACCCACCAACAGGGCTTCGGGGAACAACTCTAGCTGGGCTCGATACAGAACGTCATCCAGTGCTTTGGATCCCAGGTCAACTTCACCATTACACCTACACAGGGGCAGAAATGTGCGCACACATGCACACACACACACACAGTTTGTTAGTCTAAAACAGATTAAGGGATTATTGTTATTATCATTTTATTTTAATCTGACATGCTGAAATAAGTACAATTTAAAGAAATTAGCTGAGACAACAGAAAAGACTGTAATTACGTTTTCACATCACTTATAAAATGTAAGCTTGGAACATAAACTGTCTGCACTAATTATCTTAACAAGTATCAGGAGATTCCTGTACCCAATCTCTGTGGAATCTTTTTATCAACGCAACTTGAACTTTGACATTGTGATGCCATGAGAACTTTCACTGTGTGCTGCCGTGTGCGTTTGTACTCACAAGGCGTAGTGGATCCCTGTGATGAGCTGAACCAGGAACTCTGATGTGACTGTGAGCCGTGTGTTAATGCCTTTGTACCGCCGCATCTGTTGCCGTGGGTAACCACAAATACACACCCTGGTAGATAACCAATAAAAACACATTAGAGAGGCTTAGATGAGTAAGAACGGAAGCAGAGAAACCACTCCAGTGGGCCACTTAGCTGCAGCACCATTAAAGCCATTTACTTAACTGTGTGGTGAGCTGAGCTGATGTGAAACTCACCAAGCAAGATTCTAAGTTAAACCACACCCACACCCCCACACACCATGCATCTAACAAGCTTCAGAGGAGTCAAAAAGGATGAGGTAACACCTGTATATTAGAAGCTTTATGCATTGTACAGCGCTGCTAACACAGCAAACAGTTAGGCAGAAATCGAGGCCGATGACTTCTCTTTAGCTCAGTGCTCAGCAGACCAATGCTCAGATTACGGAGCTGGGATGTGTGTACACTGCAGCTCTTTGCAAAATAGCGATATCTTGGCTCTCTCTGGCAGCAAAGTCTATAAGAGGATCAGATAAGCAGCAACTTGCAAACGTGTGTGTGTATGTGTGTGCGCGCCTGTGCGGTTGTGTGTGCGTGCATGCGTGTGTGGGTGTGTTTGTAAGTTGCCTCCATAAAATATTACCTAGAACTTCAGCAACACAAGCTATAAAGTTGGAAAGCAGTTTGTGTGCGTCTGTGTCTAGCCCTCAAGTTAAGTGACCCACAAATGCTACAAATGCTAATGCTTGTGGGCATGTGTGTGTTTATGTGTATACATTTTACCTGGAGCTGAGCTGGCAGAGGGACTGCAGGGAGGTGGAGGACATGTAGCTGAGAGCGGCGTTGTAGCAAAGCAGGAGGAAGGTCAGCACCTCAAATCTCAATAACACAAACAAACCCTTGAAATGGCACGTTACGTAAGACACACCAAAATCTTAAAACCTGAAATCCCATCTGTACAGAACAGGAGGGTTACTAAAGCAAGAAGTACCATTAGGATAACAAGAACCAAAACATTCAAAATATTTCTGTGGGATCTTTAAATGCACCACTTTTTTGTCTAATAAGAATTCTCCAACTGGAAAACAAGCAATTTGTTAAACTAACTCAAAATTAAAAATGGTTAAGGCAGAGGACGTTCAGTTCAGGCCAACATGGCCGCCAGTCTTTCATCTCAGAATAATTTAAGAAACCCTAATAGCAATATAACAAGTTTAAATGTAACAAGGCAGAGACAACTGCCACAGGCCACAGCTGAAGCTACCCTAAAATAAAAAAACAAACAAACATGGCAGCAGCTTAATTCCCCATCAGTACACAAGTCATCATGAATCTGTTTTAGCCAGTTTGTTATTAAAGGTAATATGTCCTTTTTAGGCTATAATACAAAGCATGCATTCACAAATGAATAAGTAAAAGTACCTTTTTTGATCAGATTTTCCATCTTCCTTTATGTGCATTCTTATTTTGTTAATTAGCTGGTGTTTGCTGCCACTTTGAAAATGAACAGACTGACATCCTGCTACAAGTAAAGCACATTTTAAAACCAACATGACTGTCTTACCTGTTCTGTGCTGTGAAGGTTTCTCTCTGGAGGTGAGGCCCGCTGTACACCACTCTGCTCAGCCCATGGTTAGCTAGAGCTCCTTCGGTAAGGGCCATGGAGCCAATAGTTGAAGGCTAGAGGTGGATACAGTTTATGTAAGTACATTTCTGCAGAAACAACCCTGGCACAACTTTGAATGGAGGACACACTCACCTCATGGTAAACTGAGGGTTTGGAGAGGGAAGGGACGGTAAAAGATAACACCTTACTCTGTCCATCCTTATCAACTATTTCCTGTGAAAGAGAAAGACAGGAAGAGGGAAAACTTATGTGGGCGAAAGCAAAAATAAAAAAGCCCCTTTTCTGTCTGCGTCTGCCCTCAAACCTCTAAAGAGCGTGTGCTGATCTCTTTGAGCACAGTCATCCGCAATGTGTGGGTGGCTGTGTATAAACCTGAGGGTCTCATTTCCCTACTGACACTTTGATGGTGTGCACTCATATGTATGCATGCGTGCTCACACAGGCACAAACCCCGGGGTTTTGGTGTCCCTCTATGTGCATGTTAATGTCAAACAGATTAATGGGAACCAGCCAGTACGCTGAGTGACAGCTGACCTATTCTGGTATTCAGAGAGGAAGTGAGGAGACAGTGGACTTTGCTGATAGATCACTCGGAGCTGAAAAGGATGAAATACAACTCAACAAACTTAATCACTTCTAATGCTCCCATCAATCTGCAAATGAAAAAAGGCATTTGCAAGGTGCTGTCCATCAGTGTATATGTGCAAAGTCACTGTTTCCACCACTCCTCCCCCGTATTTCCTGTCACGGCTGTCTAGCAAGGCAGAAAGGGCAGAAAGTAATCTTTCAAAACTCATGACGCAGATCCCTGAAATAGTTGAGCAGTTAAGTCCTCTTCGTTGGCAAATTGCACGATAATTTCCACTTGGTAAGGATCAAGGACTTTTCTAGTGTTTTTCCTTACTGTGCACTTAAAACACTAGATACATTTTATTGCCGTCAACCAGAGCAGCTCGCCTCTAGTACAAAATAAATAAAACCGATCACCCGTGAGCTTCATCTCTGCAACTAAAAAACAACTGCAACAAGTGCTTCACCCTCTCCCTCACCAGGTTGTAAATGCCTAGCAGCAGGGCCTCGATGCAGCCGGAGGTGTGGGGATCTCTGGCTGCGCTGACGGACAGGAGGCTCCACAGGAGCTCTGGCAGGAACTGTAGCGTGAAACGCTGCAGCTGCGGCTCACCGCTCCGGTAAAACTCAAACAACTGGTGACACACTGGCTCTAGTAACTGCATGGGACACATATCCAAAAGAGAAAAA